ACCCCCACCCCCACCCCCACCCCTAGGTTGCATAGGGGTGGGGCTCTGTTTGAAGTTTGTTCTCTATATCTCAAGTACTGTATGGATCTTTCTGAAATTTCATATGTACTAACAGCACCTACTTCATACCAATTATTTTAAACATATTCAGGTGAGCGATACAGGCCCTCTGGGCCTCTTGTTATGAACATAATGTGACGTATTGTTATCCCGCCAAGCTATTTTTTACAGGAAGTGACGTACTGATATATCGCCCGGTTTAAATGTTTACAGGAAGTGACGTACTGATATATCGCCCGGTTCATACCTGGCATTTTTGCGGATATATGTTATAATGCTGTCACTTTTTATTTGAAGGATGTCCAGGAGCGACGTACTTATCAACCCGCGGTACCTGGTCGTGCTGCGGAATGGCCGTATTGTATGGTACAGACGAATTCGGACCCGCATCCTCTGCGAGGTCAACCAGACTGCATCTACACAGGAGTGTAACCTCCGGATGGGGTCAAAACAATTTCCCGAAACGGAACTTGTATTTAAGGAAGGTACATGCAACATGGGATCCAAATTGGAAAACGTCAATTGGGAAATCAGCTCTTTGAACAATACTATGGATATCTCCACAGTACCCCTTCCAACAAAGCTTGCGTTCCGCACAGGGAAAATGTCTATGGCTCAATGTAGCCTTTCCATAGAAGTGAAGAATACCAATCAGCGGACCTCCGTTGCCTCCGAATTACAAGGAGAGGACCCAGACGATCCCACCGACGCCGCAAGTCGCGCCAGTATTGAACTGCTAGTTTTAGTCTGCTCTTTGATAGGCCTGTATATTAGTGTGTGAGATATATAACAACATTTCCAGTTTCTAGCTGCCGGGAAATTCGCCGCTGTTAAATAAAAGTGAATTGATCATGGCTGTAAATAAAGGCACATAACTTACTATTGTGAACAATATTTCCAGTATGAAGAGCGAAATTAACAACTGGCGAATTTTACCGGTGAAGGGCGAATTTTTCATTGGGCGAGGGTTTCCTGGTGTATTTTATATTGATATTCAGTTTTCCCTGATTTTTTTCGCGGATATGGGCTATGGCGATCTAAATCAGACAAGTCAGGACCACAGGGTAGATTTCAATGATTTCTAGTCCCTAGCAGTATACACTGTGGTGATAATTTAAGAGGAGGTAAAAAAGCTATTCATTCAATGTCATATTTTGTAAATGAAATTGGTCAAATGTTTGACAAAGTCTTTTTCACCGGATTTTTTTTAAATCAGAGATAGCCGCATGCTGACTGTTGACTTATGTCTCGCCACATATGTTATGTCACGTGACATAGGTTATGTCACATACCACATAGGTTATGTCACGTGACATAGGTTATTTCACACGCCCCAAAGGTAATGTCACGTGATATATGTTATGTCACGTGACATAGGTTATGTCACACGCCCCATAGGTTATGTCAGGTGATATAGGTTATGTCACACGCCACATAGGTTATGTCTCACCACATATGTTATGTCACGTGACATAGGTTATGTCTCGCCACATAAGTTATGTCTCGCCACATAGGTTATGTCAGGTGATATCGGTTATGTCACACGCCTCATAGGTTATGTCACGTGACATATGTTATGTCACGTGACATAGGTTATGTCTCGCCACATAAGTTATGTCTCGTCACATAGGTTATGTCACACGCCTCATAGGTTATGTCACGTGACATAGGTTATGTCTGTTTGTCCTTATGGTGGGATTTATATTAACGGGGCCTCGCTTTATCCCGGCACTGTTTGTCCTAATGGTGGGATTTATATTGACGGAGCCTCGCTATAATATTTTCCCGGCACTGTTTGCCCTAATGCATGGATTTATATTGACGGGGCCTCGCTCTATCTCGGCACTATTTGTCCTAATGGTGGGATTTATATTGACGGGGCCTCGCTATAATATTTTCCCGGCACTGTTTGCCCTAGTGCATGGATTTATATTGACGGGGCCTCGCTCTATCTCGGCACTATTTGTCCTAATGGTGGGATTTATATTGACGGGGCCTCGCTATATCCCGGCATGTTTGTATTAATGGTGGGATTTATATTGACGGGGCCCCGCTATATCCCGGCACTGTTTGTCCTAGTGGTGGGATTTATATTGACGGGGCCTCGCGATATCCCGGCACTGTTTGTCCTAATGGGGGGATTTATATTGACGGGGCCTCGCTATATCCCGGCTCTGTTTGTCCTAATGGTGGGATTTATATTGACGGGGCCCCGCTATATCCCGGCATGTTTGTCTTAATGGTGGGATTTATATTGACGGTGCCTCGCTATATCCCGGCACTGTTTGCCCTAGTGGACGGATTTATATTGACGGGGCCTTGCTATATCCCGGCACTGTTTGTCATAATGAAGGGATTTATATTGACGGGGCCTCGCTATATGCCGGCACTGTTTGTCCTAGTGGACGGATATATATTGACGGGGCCTCGCTCTATCTTGGCACTGTTTGTCCTAATAGTGGGATTATTATTGACGGGGCCTCGCTATATCCCGGCACTGTTTGCCCTAGTGGACGGATTTATATTGACGGGGCCTTGCTATATCCCGGCACTATTTGTCCTAATGGTGGGATTTATAATGACGGGGCCTCGCTATATCCCGGCACTGTTTGTCCTAATGGTGGGATTTATATTGACGGGGCCTCCCTATATCCCGGCACTGTTTGTCCTAATGGTGGGATTTATATTGACGGGGCATCGCTATATCCCGGCACTGTTTGTCATAATGAAGGGATTTGTATTGACGGGGCCTCGCTATATCCCGGCACTATTTGTCCTAGTGGATGGATTATTAGTGAGGGGCCTCGCTATATCCCGGTACTATTTGTCCTAATGGTGGGATTAATATTGACGGGGCCTCCCTATATCCCGACACTGTTTGTTCTAGTGGACGGATTAATATTGACGGGGCCTCCCTATATCCCGGCATGTTTGTCTTAATGGTGGGATTTATATTGACGGGGCCTCGCTATATCCCGGCACTGTTTGTCCTAATGGTGGGATTTATATTGACGGGGCCTCGCTATATCCCGGCACTGTTTGTCCTAATGGTGGGATTTATATTGACGGGGCCTCGCTATATCCCGGCACTGTTTGTCCTAATGGTGGGATTTATATTGACGGGGCCT